GGCTGCTCCGGCCTTACCGCCGCGGCGTGCGGGGGGCAGCGGAACGCCGGGGCTTTCCTTGCTCTTCGCGTTTCCCAAATACCCGGCGGGGAGGAGGAACGTTAGGCATCGTCTTCCTACTTCAGAAGTGTCTGGGGGTATTACACAGGACTCGTACCGGCTGTTTCCGATTTGATGTTCCCAGCGTGGCAAGGCCTCGTGGCTGTGGTAGCGTCCCCCCCCAGGATTCATGCAGGCGAATGTATGCGCACAAGCGTGTCTGTAATCCTGGCACTCAGCTCTGGTCTTGCGCGCTGTCCGTCATCCCTAAGTAAAAATGCTGGGTTTGGGTTTTGCATTGTCCCGAAAGGGAAGCCTCTGGGTCTGGCTGTCAGGTGCTTGTTTGCTGTGGAGTATTCATGTTTTTCAGAAAGCATTCCAAATAGAATTGTGGGTTTGTTTAGTCCTTCCAGGTTTTTTTTCCCTCTTTTGGGGGGCAGGGCAGAATAAGGGTCTTTGCAGGGACCTGGGAAATGAAGTATTTAACACAGTAAAGTTTAAAGCATTTGCTTTACAGAAGGTTTCTCTGTACCCACCATGTCAGCTGGTCATTAGCAGTGACTGGTGTTCATGAGTACCATGTTGAAGTGTGAATATTCATTAGTGAACTAACTCTGGCTTGGTTCTGTGTAGAAAGGAGACAAACTACAAAGCAGCCCCCCAAAACATCCCCTCCTTTTTTTTTTTGTCTTAAACATACCGTGTTTGCAGCTCTCTGTTGTCAGACTGGCAAAGCCTCCCAAGCTCTATTCCCCCATAGTCACCAGAAGTCTCCAATACTTGCCAGGATGGTGAGTTAGTTTTGGGCTTCTAGCCCTCCATTCCTCTATTATTTTAGTCAGATCCTGAATTCCACTCAGTTAAAGACTCATGAGAATTGCTTAAAATTTGCATTTGGAAGTCATGCCTCAGACAATGAATTTGCAAAAAAAAATATTTTTTTTTTTTTTTTTTTTTTTTTACACTAGTACTACTGTAATGCTCGAGCAAAATGACACTTTCAGTGGTGGCTGAATCACTGAGTGATGCCACAGACATCCCTGTTTGAGCCTTTACCGCAGCCAGTGCAATGTTTGTTTATACGCTGCTTGGTCCTTTTGTAAAGACGTATAGCTGTGGGCGGTGCATTATTCCAGAGGTGCTGCTGCTCTGATGCTCTGTATGTTCACAGTAATGGGTAAAGCGGAAGGCTCTGTGGCTAGGGAAGAATGGCATGGACATGTTACTGCTCTCTCTGTTGCACCAGAATTTCGGCGGCTGGGTTTGGCTGCGAAGTTGATGGAACTACTGGAAGAAATTTCAGAAAAGTGAGTACTATACTTACCTTTAAATTTATCTTTTGAAGTAATCTTTCTACAGACACCTGTCCGTGGGTTAGGTATTCGATTTGCATGAAGCAGACCCAGAATTTGATTTTAATGGTGTTCTGATTCGCTGGAATTCCCCGTAGTTAGAGAGCAAGAGTTAAAAGCGTTGCTTGGCGGTTGAAGATCTCAGGCTTTCTATGAAAGCTAACTTGCCAGAGTGAGTAGGAAGTAGCCTGAATTCCAACAGAGATACCCTATAAAAGATCCTTTCCTTGACAGGAAAAGAGCTTCATGAAAGGTCAACGCTGTTTCCCATAGGGCTTCCAACATATGTCATCATGGGCTTTGCGCGATTCCTGGAGGCACAATCTTGAGCAAATTTTGTACAGCAGACAGTAGCTTAGCTTACTTTCTTGGTGCTTGGTTGCTTGTACCTGCTGAAAACTTAACTTAGTGTCAAATGAACCCTTGGGGAAATGTCCTCAACTCATGCTGGTAGGGCAACCCCATTATAGTTGGTAAAATCGGAAAATAATACGGTGTTTTGAAAAATTTGCCTTGTGAGGAGAAGGGCTGTCTCCTGTTAGGCGACTGAATTTTGTGACCGATTCCACTACTCCTCCCCGCCATGCGCTTTGAAGGAGGCAGCAAAAAAGAAATTTGAAAAAAAAAAATTTTTTTTTTTTTTTTTTTTTTTTTACACTAGTACTACTGTAATGCTCGAGCAAAATGACACTTTCAGTGGTGGCTGAATCACTGAGTGATGCCACAGACATCCCTGTTTGAGCCTTTACCGCAGCCAGTGCAATGTTTGTTTATACGCTGCTTGGTCCTTTTGTAAAGACGTATAGCTGTGGGCGGTGCATTATTCCAGAGGTGCTGCTGCTCTGATGCTCTGTATGTTCACAGTAATGGGTAAAGCGGAAGGCTCTGTGGCTAGGGAAGAATGGCATGGACATGTTACTGCTCTCTCTGTTGCACCAGAATTTCGGCGGCTGGGTTTGGCTGCGAAGTTGATGGAACTACTGGAAGAAATTTCAGAAAAGTGAGTACTATACTTACCTTTAAATTTATCTTTTGAAGTAATCTTTCTACAGACACCTGTCCGTGGGTTAGGTATTCGATTTGCATGAAGCAGACCCAGAATTTGATTTTAATGGTGTTCTGATTCGCTGGAATTCCCCGTAGTTAGAGAGCAAGAGTTAAAAGCGTTGCTTGGCGGTTGAAGATCTCAGGCTTTCTATGAAAGCTAACTTGCCAGAGTGAGTAGGAAGTAGCCTGAATTCCAACAGAGATACCCTATAAAAGATCCTTTCCTTGACAGGAAAAGAGCTTCATGAAAGGTCAACGCTGTTTCCCATAGGGCTTCCAACATATGTCATCATGGGCTTTGCGCGATTCCTGGAGGCACAATCTTGAGCAAATTTTGTACAGCAGACAGTAGCTTAGCTTACTTTCTTGGTGCTTGGTTGCTTGTACCTGCTGAAAACTTAACTTAGTGTCAAATGAACCCTTGGGGAAATGTCCTCAACTCATGCTGGTAGGGCAACCCCATTATAGTTGGTAAAATCGGAAAATAATACGGTGTTTTGAAAAATTTGCCTTGTGAGGAGAAGGGCTGTCTCCTGTTAGGCGACTGAATTTTGTGACCGATTCCACTACTCCTCCCCGCCATGCGCTTTGAAGGAGGCAGTCCCTAAGCCAATGCAATCTAAAATGTGGATTATTTTTTTTTAAATCATTTCTTATGGGTATGAGGTTTGCACGGGTGTTCAGCTTGTCCTGTTCAATAATTCTGAACCCACGGGCTGGTGTAAAAGAATCGTCATGTGACAAAAACAAAATTAAATTTATGCCTGTACTGGATTTGCCCCTTGGTAAAGGAGTGCATCTGTTGTTACAGTGTGAAAGATGTTTGATTAGCGTACCACATTATCAGACCTGCTCTTGGCCTGATTACAAGTTACGGGTTATTATTTACAAATACATTCACTTGCTGTTGCTTACTGTGGGTTTTTTTGGTTTTTATTTTTTCAAAGAAAGGGTGGGTTTTTCGTCGACCTCTTTGTGAGAGTATCAAATCAGGTTGCAGTAAATATGTATAAGCAACTGGGCTACAGCGTCTACCGGACAGTATTAGAGTACTACTCTGCTAGCAATGGAGAGCCAGATGAAGATGCTTATGGTAAGTACTTGTTCTGCCGCAAGTTGCATGGAAAGATCCTCATGTTGAGGAAAATAGGGTTGGTTTGTATGATTTTTTTTTTTATTTTTTTTTTTCATGTGAAACAAGTTCAGGTAGCTGGTGATGAATGGGATTTTGTGTACTCCTTTAGATAGCTTTTCCTACTGAAGGTTACATCAGTTACAAAACCTAATCTTGCAGTTTACGTGTTTTGTAGCATCTGTAGCAAAATAAAGAATAAATTGGTAAGTATGAAGACATTTACCGTGTAGGTAAGATGAAAATAAAAACGCAGTTTCTTACCTAATTTTTCTTTCCAAGGAATGCTCGTACCCAGTGGTTGGGCTTTCTGCTAATGTTACTCGGGGAAGGAATTGCAGTGTTTTCCTCATTTCTTCCCGTAACAGGGACTTGACACTTTGTTTTTCTCAGATGTCTGACTACAAATTTACAAGTGTCAATGGTCAACAGCAGCAGAGAACTGGGTGGCATTTTCGGTTTAAAAGGGAAGGAACATAGAAATTCAAGTGCGTTGATGTTAATTCTGTTAACAAAACTCTAGTTCCAGCTGCTTCCTCTTTCTAGACCTTCTTTCCTTTAAGAATCCTCCCCAAAGGGTTACATGGCTATGCTGTACATCTTTTCTGCTCTTGCACTATTCATTCGATATGCAGGTATCCTGTGACATACAGGAGCTGCAGACGGACATCTACCATTGTGCAGATGCCTTAAATCATGTATTTGTCCTTTTAGCCTGCCGTTTCCTTTCCATTTGCTTGAGTTTCATGCAGTGTTACATTCCAGTTGGTCAGATTGCTGCTGAACAGCATTAAGGGCATCAGACTATTAGAGTGTGTCCAGAGGAGGGTGACCAAGATGGTAAAAAGTCTTAGGACTTAGGAGGAGTGGTTGAAGTCGCTTGGTTTGCTCAGCCTGGAGCAGAGAAGGCTGAGGGGTGACCTCGTCAGTGAGGGGTGACCTCATCGCAGCCTACAGCTTCCTCAGGGTGGGCAGTGGAGGGGGAGATGCTGATCTCCTCTCTCTGGAGGAAACGGAACGAAGCTGCGTCAGGGGAAGCTCAGACTGAACATGAGGACAAGGTTCTTCACTCGGAGGGTGGTCAGTCCCTGGAACAGGCTCCCCAGGGAAGTGGTCACACCACCAAGCCTGTCGGAGTTCAAGGAGTGCCTGGATGATGCTCTTAGTCATACGGTTTAGTTTTAGTTAGTCCTGGGAGGGAGCAGGGAGTTGGACTCGGTGATCTTTATGGGTCCCTTCCAACTCAAGATATTCTATGATTCTATGAAATCTTCTTGATTAAAAATGATCTTAATTGTAATACAGAATTCAATTAGTATGGCTTTGTGCAGTGACAGTTTTATTATAATAGCATTTTGTTCTTTTGCCACAGATATGAGAAAAGCTCTTTCCAGAGATACGGAGAAGAAATCAATTATACCTCTGCCTCATCCTGTGAGGCCAGAAGACATTGAGTAACTGTAAGCTGTGATTCTCAGGCGACTTACTTAGAGTGTTGGGTTCCTTCTCCTCCCCAGCCCACAAGAACTTAGGGAGGAGAAATCTTAGGCTCAATGTTTTTTCCCATGAAACACAAAAAAGCAATATTGAGAAGCTTACTAATGTTGCTTCTGTTGGTACTGGCTGCGTACTCCTAGACTTACACCATTATTTTTCCTTTCAGAGATTGGAAATTCAGAGACTATTAAAATGGCATTACCTCAAGTATGGTGTTTTCTCTGTTTTCTTTCAAACCAAAAGTAACTGAAGTCAGTAACAGTAAAAGCTAACTAATGACTTCTGAAAATACTGTACAATACCCAAGAAACACAACAGGGGAAGGCAATATATTAGTACTTGCATAGAAGATAAACCTGTTATACGTAAGTAGAGATGTCTTTCCCCTCTTCACGGCACAGGCACAGGACTGAACTTAGCTTCGCTGTTGATTTGAAAAAGCCAGACAGCCAAAGCAGTCAAGGCTTCCTCTCCACCATGGACCAGATTCAGGGCAAATTCTGTGTTCTGGGTACCCAGAACATGCTGCATCGGCTGAAGGAATCTGCGCTAAAGATTTCTTGGGTTTGCATACTCTTCTGGCTCAGTTTCAGTGTCAATGTAGGAGTTCCAAAGAACCTGCAAAAGAGAAGTCTCTCCTTATGTTCACAGCATCTTCAAATGACCCTGTATCTAACACTGAGATAATGCAAGGTGGTTTTTTTTCTTTTTAAATGGAGAAGCATGGATAAATGTGGGATTTGCAGAAATGAAATTCAGAGATCAGGGTATTAATTGACTGTACAAGCTAGGATTAAGACTAAGTAATATAAAATCTTGTGCACGTAATCCATTTAGCTTACTCCTGTAAGCATGTTTCTCCCTCTGTGTTTTATCATGGGTTTTACAGTCCTGTGTGCCCTGCCAAGAAACGGGTGCTAACTTAGGCAAGATAGAGGCTGAGCCACTATGGTGAGCAACTGGTAGCTTATTTCCATTTTATTTAGCCGCTCTGTGTAATAAATACTGGGGGGTTTGTTCCTGATTTTCTTCCATCCTTATATACAGCTTTCCATCCCTTGTTTCCTCTCACTTACTCTCCAGTGTCCTGTCTCTCTTGGTCTGTCTGCTCCCCATCACTATTTTATTCTCTCTTGTTTTTTCTTTTTTTTTTTTTTTCTTTTAAAAAAGTTCCTTGTGCCTTTTCTCTTAGTCCCCCATTCCTCTGTCTTGTGTTGTGTCCTGGTTTTGAGGCCTTGGAAGCGACATCGCGAGTGACAGGTTGTCAGAAGCAGGTCCTCTGGCCCATCACTGTTTTTACCTTCTCCATCTCTTTGTCCCAATCTGCATCTCTCTCTCTTACTCAGTCCCTATTTCTCATTCTGTCCCAGTGTCCTGCTCCCTGGCCCTCTGTCCTTCCGTCTGTCCTTCTCCCTCCACCCCCCGTTTCTCTCGTGCTGCCTCTTCCTTTTTTGTTCTCTCTTGCTCTGTCCTGCTCCCCGCCCCCTCGTTTCTCACAGTATCCCTCTCTCCGGCTCCCTGCCCCTATTCTTTTTCAATCCCATGGATTTCAGTGTCATGCTGCCCATCCCAAAAAACGAGGGCAGGGGCGGCGCCGGGACCGGCACTTGCTCCGTTGCTCTCAGGCGCCTCCAGGGGGGCGTAGCCCTTGCTACCGCCGCGCCCCCCCGCACCGGGGCGCGGCTCTGGGGCCGGTTTCGCCTGTTTCTCC